TTAATCCCAGTAATAACCATAGAGGTCTGGAGGTCTGTACAGACAGACAGGAAGTGACACAGCTGAGAAGGAAAAGGAAGTAATGTAGCTGGAGAGAGAGAGAGAGAGAGAGAGAGAGAGAGAGAGAGAGAGAGAATGATAGAGCAGAACAGAAAGGCATATAGGCAAGGGTATACAGGAAGTAGCTATCTTTGGAAACTGAGGTGTCAATGAGGTGAGGTTAGCTTGTGGCTTCTCCTATTTCTCTGATCTCTCAGGTTTTCACACACTAAAAAAAGATACAGAAATGATAGACTAAAGGGTAGATTATTGAATGTATTCTGAAAAGAAAAGGGAGAGGATATAGATATGATATAGATAAAAAGGTAGATTATTGAATCTACTTTTAAAAGGCAACTAGTAGTTTTAAATATTTTACATTGGATTGGATTTTTGTATATTGTATTCAAATTATGTATATTGGAACAAATTTGAGATTGATTTATATAGATATGATAAGATAAAAAGGTAGATTATTGAATCTACTTTTAGAAAGCAGCTACTAATTTTAAGTATTTTACATTGGATTGGATTTTTATATATTGTATACAAATTATGTATATTGATACAAATTTGAGATTGATTTTGTTAAAAAATTCTATATGTGTATGTATAATCTTGTTCAAGATATTGTACCTATACAGTTCATTTAACAATATAATGCAATTTGCTAATCCTTGAAAGTTATTATTATCAACTATTAGGATATAGAGAAATGAAAGTTAGTAGTTAGACATTACAATCGATCTTATAGTCATATTAGGTATGTTTTCAAGGTCAAACAGAGATATATTTTAGATAGATAGGTCATCTTCAAACACTTCAGAGATCTGCAGAATATGGCATTTAAGATATTTTAATAACAGATTTTTTTTCCTTTTTTATGACTATGAGACATGTCTGCTCCTGGCAGCACCCATCTACTCCAGAGAAGATATGGACATTGAAGAACCTTCACATGGAGTTTACTTTCACTGTGGCAAAAGTTAACCAATGGACAAGAAAATGCCCTCGCATTGACTGCTGACAGTATGCTGTCCAAAATGAACAAGCAAGACACAAAACAAAGGACTACCAATCCTTGCAAAGACAAGTGTGGTTGCAGCTTTGGCAACAGGCATCCTCTGAGGCCAGGGCAATATGGCACTATTGTTGAAGTGGCTTTGCAATCCAGAAAAGGTACAGTGCCCCTTCCTTCGAAGGCAGCTGAGCAGGCAGTAGACCAAAGGCTCCTGGTGTGCAGTGGAACAGTAGCTGGAACAGATATACTTTGAAGAGTAACTATGCTGATGGAGTCTGGCCTCTCAATGGTAGACTGGCATTTAATAAAGGAGATGAAGACACCTGCAAGCTGAAAAGAATGGGAAGCTGAATTCCAAAAATACCAGCAATTTCCAGAATTTAAAATCCTGAATCATGACAGGACACTGGAGGAATTCAGGTTTATCTGGGACATGGAATACTCGCACTAAAAGTGGGGTCAAGTCTTGCATACATCCTGCTTCACAAATGAGTCTGTCAGATATGCTAAGACTGTAGGCTGAAGATGATGCCCCAACATTGCAGAGAAACCTCGGGTGACTGTCCAGGCAGCTGGCTGTTTCTGTCATAACTCACATATTTTGGAAGTTGCTTGTTTGCACTTCCTGTTTTAATGTTATTTCCTTCTCAGGTCTCTGAGGGTGTTGAAGATTACATAGTTATAGTTATAGTTTTCCTTGTTAAGAAAATCAGAAAAGAAACTCACTAAGAGGTGTTAAGTGTATAAATTTGAAAGACATCAAAAGATAGTTTTCTGTTGGTAATACAAGACAGGATAGGAAGTGAATTAGGTACATTTTGGACTCATCAAAATAGGATAGATAATGGAATATTTTCTCTGAATTTGTCAAATGCAAATGGACTAGACATTGTTGATGTATCTATTGCTTGTATATATTGTATATAGTTATTGTACGTATTGTATGTAGTTTTTCTTATATTAGTTATAACTTTATTATTATTTTTATTAGACAAAAAGGGGAAATGCTGTGATGTATTGTGTCCCCCAATATACTGTGTCCCCCAATAAAATTTATACAGGAAGTAGGTATCTTTGGAGACTGAGGTGTCAGTGAAGTAAGGTTTGCTTGTGGCTTCTCCTATTCCTCTGATCTCTCACATTTCATCCCCAATATCTGGCTCTGGGTTTTTATTTTAATAAGACCATTTAGCAATTCGTCTACAAACAATTATCTGTAACTTCAGTTCCAGGGGATCTAATACCCTCCTCCAACCTTTGTGGGCACTGCACACATGTGGTATACAGACATAAATGCAAGCAAAAATGCAGGCAAAAACTCATACACATAAAATGAAAATTTTAAAATCTTTTTCAAAAAAGACTCCATTTTTCCCAGTTGCAGTGCTTCTTATGTAACTTGTCTCATCCATAGTAAGGCAAGCAAGGCACAGCTTGTGACTTATTTGAAGAATAATGTGGACAAGGCAAGGAACAATTGAGGCACAGAAAATGATGGGATTCATAGACTTGACCTATTAGACTGTGAAGTTAATGCTCAGCAGAGTGGGATCTGTGGCTAGGAGTATAATCATTCTATGTCTTTAGAGACGCTACATAGGAAATAGCTGAATGAATATATTCTACTGTAACAGCACAGTGGTAGGTGGTGAGAAAGGTGGTGAGGTCTTATTCTGAAGTGAGGAGAGTGAACTATTTAAAGGTTGTTTATGGGTTAAGTAAATTGACAATAAATGTGTTAGTAAACAGAATCCTTAATAGAACAATAAAACCCAATGGAAACTCCCGATATGTTCACCCAGCGTCCACACAACTCCACTTGCAGCTATGCGTGTGCTAGCAGAGTTCCTCAGGGACTAATACAAATCACTGGTTTTACATCTAAGTTCTGTCTTTTCTCACCCCTCTCACCCCCATCACACTATCCCCTCCCTCCCATTATCATTGTCATGACCATCATCGTCACTTTCTCAACAATGGATTATTGCCCCCTATCTTCCCAGGATATTCTACCATCTTCCATCATTAAAACAATAACAAAATGATAACTACATCACCATATAGCCCCCAGCTGCAAGAAAAATGACTCGGACTCCCACAGTGTGTAGCTGGAAACATGGTTCAGCAGTTAAAAGCATTTGTTGCTCCTACAGAGGACCTGTATTCAGTTTCCAGCACCCACAATGGTGGCTCACAATAATCTGTAACTCCAGTCCCAGATGACCCAACACCCATTTCTGAACTCTGTGGGCACCAGGCATAAATATACATGTAGGCAAAGCACTCACACACAACAAGACAATTCTTTTTTAGAAAAGTGCGTGTCACTGTATCATTTATTTGTCTACTCCCTCAGTGATCTGGAATCAACACACTTGATGTGCATGATTCTGTCTGTAGGGCCTAATTCTGTCTGGCAAGTGGCTATACAGTGACCTCTCAGCACAACCCTGTCTCAGTTCACATGGGCAAACCTCCAGTCCATGAGGGTCAGGTGGGTAATTGGGAAGCATTGTCTTGACTGGATAGGCAGAGCAATAAGGGTTCTTGTTGAACCTGACTCATCAATGCCTGTCAAAGGAAAAAATGAGGATTTTTTTTCCTCAGCTCTGGAGGGGGGCAGTCTCTGCAGAACAGGTTAGAGATAAACTAGACAGAACCAGCTGAAATCAAGTGGCAAGGCTGGCCCCAAGAAGATAACAGACAGCAATGAGTGCTGTTCACACTCTCATGCTGGACATTACACCCACCAGAGAAACACACACTAGCCCTGCCTGCTGCCAACATCTTTTGCAGAGGTGCCTCTAATGCCTATCTCCTGATAGGCTTGCAACTCAAGAATGTGGAGACACCTGAGACTGGTTCTGTTTACATGTGTCTAGCTGCAATGGAGGCTGGAACACCAAATAGTTACCTCTGTCCTTTTAGAAGGATGTGGGAGGAAATATCCATACAGGAGAGGCTCCTGATGCTGGGGGAGGGATAAGACAGAATTCTGAGATTAAAAATACAGCTGCCCCTAGGAAATCTCTCTTTAGCATCTCCTTCAGAATACTGAGCAAAGTGAGTGAGGTCTCTCAAGAAAGATGCACAATTACCCAGAAATCGCTAGGCAACAGCTACCAGAAGCAGAGTCACACTGTGTTGGGAAACTACCTATAGTTTTGTGAGCCCAAAATGACAAATGCCAAAGTTTCACCATCTTTTGATAATTCTAAAGGGTCCTAATGTAGATAGGTTAGGAGATGCTACATGGCAGAATTGTATGTAATGTGCTGAGAAAGTATTTGTTGCGTTTCTATGTACATACTAGAGTGGTTTGTAACCCTAGTGCATGCTGCAACATTTTTGCAAAGAACAAAAGAGAAAACATGTGTATCTGTGTGTTTACAAGTTGTATGCATACAGATAGTTATTTAGATTTCTTTTTCTAGAGAGATAAATGGATAGATTTTTTTCCTTTCTTTTTTTTTTTTTTGTTTGTTTGGTTGTTTGGTTGGTTGGTTGTTTTGTTTTGGTTTTGGTTTTTGTGATGAAGACTTAGTAGCCCAGGCGTGGCCTTAAACTCCCTGGGTAGTTCAGGATGTCTGTGAACTCAAGCCAATACTCCTGTCTCAACTTTTCTAGTGTTACATACATGAATTACTGTGCCCAGCTACATGTATTACCTTAAATAAGGGAAAGGTGGGTACACAGCAATGATCATAGCTCCAGGGAGTCCTTAGGCTATTTTACTGCTTGACACAGCATAGGAGGGACAGCTATATGGAAGATATGATGCACTCCCATCCTACTGGGACTAGAGAAAGACCTGCTTCATACCTCCCAGTGATCCATTCCCAGTCTGTTCTGTTGGCCTTATCTGTGTCCCACACCACTCAAACCTTCCAGAAGACCACTGACTAGAGGTTATTTGGATAGAATCCACGTCAAAATGGACTTAGTCAGAAAGACTTTATTTAACTATTTTCTCAAGGACTTGGATCTGACACTTAGCATTACAGCTGGCCTCAGAAAAAGTCCAAATGGTTATTAAGAGTCAAGAGGTGACACTGAATGTTCTGGAAGGAATTTTCATTTCCAAGTTCTGGTGTGTTGCTTGTCCTAGCATAAAGCGCATCTTCAGGGAACTCCATTGTGGTGACCAGAGTGGGATTTGAAGGATTCTACATTGTGTCAGCACTGTGAAAGGAAGGAAGGCAGGAATACAATCCAAAACGATGAGACACAGAGCCTGAAAAGTAAGTAGGAGTGTCTGACCCCTACCCCATCCCCTCAGAGGTCCCCCTGAGCTTGGGAAATGGAGTCAACTTCTTTTATGTTGCGTGACCCAGTTGCAGTATGGATTTCAACAGTGCTGGCATCAGAACCTGGAGAAGAAAAGAAGCAGGCTGTGTTGGAGCTGAGGTCCCAGAGGGCTTTGTCTTGTTTTGTTGGCACAGGGTCACAAGTAGACTGGGCTGGCCTCAAACTTGATATGTAGTCAAGAATGACCTTGAACTTCCAATCCCCCTGCTTCCCCTTCCAAAGTGCTAGAATAACAGATATGTACCATCATATTAATTTTATACAGTGCTGGGGACTGAACCCAGGGCCTTATGCTAGCTAGTCAAGCAGTCTACTAACTGAGCAGTGTTGCCAGTCCCTAGAAAGCCTTCCATCAACTTCAGAAAATGTTCGTAGTACTCAACAATGAAATGAGATTTTTGTCTTTATTTTTCTTTACAGTAGAAAGGAAAGGAGGGAGGGAGGGAGAGGGGAAGAGAGAGAGAGAGAGAGAGAGAGAGAGAGAGAGAGAGAGAGAGAGAGAGAGAGAGAGAGAGAGGATATCTTAGTCAAACCTTAGCATCTAAGGTCTAAGGTCAGGTGTAGCTTTAATCCCAGCACTCGGGAGGCAGAGGTAGGTAGATCTCTGAGTTCGAGGTCAGCCTGGTCTACATAGCAAGCTCCAGGACAGCCAGGGCTACACAGAGAAACTCTGTCTTAAAAAAATAATTACCATGTATATCGCCTCTGTGTGTGTGTGTGTATAAAAAGGAGGGGGAAACCCACTATATCATCCCTTACTACATTTTATTCATTCATTCAGAGAAAAAAAAATGGAACAAACCTTAAAGAATCATTTCAGGCAGCTGACACATGGTTCCTGAGGAAATGTGACAGTTGAATTAAGGTGGCCCTGGAGCCCTGCATGCATCCTCTGGGATGTATAAACAAAGGACAGAGTCCATTCACAGGAAGCTGTGACATAGACAGTAGGTCCTCCTGCCTGGCTACCTGCACTCAGCTCCAGGAAGTCCCAGAGGGAAGGAATCTACGCCCTCTGTAAAACTCCCTCTTGTCCTCACATACAGTGCCACCAGTCTTTAAGCTGCAATTCCTGTCCTTCAGCACCTGGAAGTACCCAAAACAGCCTCTCCAACTTTCAAGGGTTGTAATTTAAACGCATATCAAGACCCAACATAAAACAGCACATGCCTGATAATGCTTTGCCAAGCCAGTTTCCTTGTTGTGATCATAAACTGGGGCCCTAGATGCAATGACTAAGTTACAAATGATGTTTCTCATATGGCATAGTGCACACATCCAAATAAGCTCTAAGTTATTTGGTGTTCATTTCTTGAGAAGCTGAAGGTGACCTTTCTCACTGGCCTTCATGTCTGGGACCTGTGAGAGCACATGCATGAGCGCACATGAGAGCAAGCTAGCTGCTGTATTTTGTTTCTAAGAGCTATTGCTAGGTTTTCTTCAGAATAATGAATTTTGTAGCTGATTACATTCTCTCTACAGTTTCCAGCTAAGAAGCTCAAAGGCAAACAAGTAGCCTCTCTAAGTAGCCTCACGTGGTTCATTTCCCCTGGCTTTCCTCAGATCTCAGCATTGTTCTCTGGTCTGTTCTATTTTCTTACTAATCAGTTTTCCCTTTGTTTTAGAATATGACATGTCTTACAGAAAGCAGTCCCAACGCAGTAAAAATGGTGGGGAAGTGAGCTCAATAAGCAAGATAAAATAAAATGTTCTCATCAAGGGTCACCCTGCAGGTCTACTTAATCACTTGACTAGCACTCCTTCCTTCCGGATAGCAAAATCCTTTGGAACAAACAGCAGACTTATTCTTTTGCTCCCAAAATACCCAGGAGCACTGGCTCTGAGCCAGGATATAAACTGGGCATGGAGAATTCAAAGACAGAGTCAGGAAGCAAGGAGGCCTTTCCCAGTATGCACAGGGCAAGTGACTGCCTTCCAGTCTCTAAGCCTCACCAACGGACTTGGCTTACTTTTGCAGCCTCAGCTGTCACTTCTATCAAACTCAAGCATACTGATCTACCTACCCTTTTCCTCCTCCTAAAGACATGGTCCTACAAAGGGCCTTTCCACAGCTCTTTGCCTGCAAAGCATCTCTCAGTTTTCTCATGACTCTGCCTTGTATTTTATTTCAGGTCTCAATTCAAATATTACCTCATCCATAGAGAAACTTCTGGGTTACCCTATCAAAAACCAGTCCTCCACCTCTCTCCCTGATTAGTGGCTCCTATTCTTAAGAAATTAGGTATTGAACTCAGAGCCTTGCACGTGTTAAGCAAGCTCTTTGCATCTGAGTTCTATCTCCTGCACCCTGATCAGTTCTGGTTCCTAGTATTTCTCACTACTGTGGACTTTCTGTAGTTGTTTTCTTTCTTCCTCTAGAATGGAGTACTCAGGAAACATATTGAGTGGATACAGTTGGGTCAATGCCTTAACAGTAGTGAGATGAGCCCTTGGAAGCTGGAGCAGTATTAAGACTGATGACCGAAGGAGGGCAGAAAGAATAACAATTTGGACAGAGGCAAGCACCATATTGCAGGATTACTCTAATGCACATGAGTCACTCACTGTGGCCTGTTAGGGAAACAGCAGCCAGACCTTCCCCAGGGGCAGATACAGATGAATCTGAGAGGCTACACGAGTGATGAAGACAGAGCAAATGTGATCCCCTCAGAGAATCTAGAGAAGGGAACAAAGAAATGTTTGGCCACGGACCTTACAGCCAGGCCCTGATTTGAGTGTGGGTGCCATCATGAGTAATGGAGGAAAACCATCTGGCTACAGTGGCCCGGCACCAGCTGGGAAGGCTTTTAAGAGCTTCCAGAATAGCACTGCCACAGGAGGGCCTGGCTGAAGGCACTTGAAAAAGATTTGATTCTCACAGGGTCACCCTGGTTATGAACTCATCTTGGGTGCATGAGAACTCATGTGGGATTTTTGTGGTTTTGTTCAAAAAGACCCAGCTGGGTATCATAAGGTGGCTTGTGATCAAGGTCTTTGCTGAGGATACTCCCCCATGACTTCACACTTGAGGACAAACTCAAGTCCCATGGCTTTATAGAGTATCCAGTTTTTCACTCCCTTCCCCCATCTCTATACAGAACAGTGATGCATAAGAACCCTCTCAAAGCCAAAGCTGCAGGAATAAAGCCACCTGAACCTAGCTCCATCTGTCCTAAGTCAGATAAGGGTTTGAGCTGTGAACTCTAACAAGCCTGGGTAGCCTTGGGTTTTCTTCTCTGTCTTACAGGTCTCCATGAAGAGAAGGAATTGATAGAGCAAGACTCTGGAGACAGCTGGAGAGGTGGCTCAGAGGTTAAGAGCACTAACTGCTCTTCCAGAAGTCCTGAGTTCAATTCCCAGCAACCACATGGTGGCTCACAACCATCTGTAATGAGATCTGGCACCCTCTTCTATATACATAATAAATAAATAAATCTTTGGTTGTTTGGCTCAAACTGTTTGGGGGGCACCCAGGCAGGGGGATCAGGATCTGTCCCTGGTCTATGGGCAGGCTTCTGGAATCCAGTACCTGTGGTGTGACACCTTGCACAGCCTTGGTGTAGTGGGAATGGGCTTGGACCTGCCTAGGCTTAGTGTGCTGGGCTCTGCTGACTCCCCATGGGAGACCTCGATTTGGGGGATGTGGGGATGCCGGGTGGCATGGGAAAGAGGGCTTGGGGTGGGAGGAGGGAGGAGGGGGGGTCTGTGGATAACATGTGGAGTGAGTAGAAAAAATCTTAATAAAGAAAAAAAGACTCTGGAGACAGTTCAGCATGGCTGCTACGGTACTGACTAGTTCCCCATTCATACATAGTCTGTGGACATCAGTTTACCATGACTTCAAGATATCAAACAACCAAACCCCAGAAATGATGCTCTGCATCATCACAGGCCCGGAGCAATAGGACCAAGCAATGGTAGACATGGTTCTTTTTATAATGTAATAATATTTCATTAGATGGATATATATCCTTTACCAGAAACTTCTAAAACTAGACCAAATTAAACCTTTCCTCTTAAGAGTTGTTCTCCTCAGAATTTTTGTTACTGCACAGAGAAATAATTAAAACATTGCTAGACCATACAGGACAATAGCAACCAAAAAGATGTGGAAATCTTTTAAACTGCACGATAGTATGCTAAGAAGCAAAACACTTAGGTAATTTACTTTCTGCACACCAGCCCTTTTCATTCCTTGCAGATCCATGTGTGCAAATTCCTCCACAGAGCCACCATACAAAATGGTGGTCACTTTATCTTAGGATTTTAATTTTGCTATTTTCAGGGTAAGGAAGTGTAAATTCCACTTCATACTTTTACAGGAAATGTTTTTGGTTAACTTTTCCAACTTACTTTGTGCCTGAAGAATGCCTCAAAAAGCTTATCTCAGCCAGCAGATAAGCAAACAATACATTACTGTGGGTTCTAAACTGACAGCTGCCTTTTATTCCTTTTCTTTTAATTAATTAATTAATTGAACAGATTCTATTGTCATTGTTTTCCTTTGTATATTTATAGTGTTGGGGGTGGAACCCAGGGCCTTGTACATG